TACCTAATCTAGCTTCACAACAAAGTTAAAGTAATCACAAGTAGCAAATAAGCAACCATTCATGAAGGCTCAGCGTTCGATACGAGGCCCGACCGTGCGTCCGGCAAGCTGCCCGGTGTCGTCACTTCCAGGTGGCAGGTGGCAGGTCCCGGGTTTTCAGAAGGCTGGGTAGGAGGCCGGCTTACGGCGGGGCGCCGGCGTGTGGGTTGCGGTGCGTGGCCGGCTGTGGCTCGGGGAAACGCTCTGCTCCGTGGCTCCTGACCAGCCGCAACTTCACGGGGTTGACGGGGTCTCGGCCAACTGTCCACTCGCGATTGGTCGTTGCAGACTCGGGTCCTGACGCCTCCCTCACGCGGGCACGATGCGGCCGAGGCGCTATTCCATCCGCCTAAACAGCCACAGGGGTGACAACACGACATCGTCAGGCCCTTTCTACCTTGGCGCTAACGTCTTGGCGTTAGGCCTTGTTACCCAAACCCAGTCTCCGGGTTCCAACTGGTGCCTGGGGCCAGACCTTCTCGGTCAGAGCAGCAGGTACCGGCCACAGCTCCTCGTGAACGTTTACGGGGGCCTTCAGCCCTCGCAGCAGTTCCAGACGGCCGAGCTCGCGCCCCCGCCTCGGATGGGCTGCGAATACTGGGGCAGGGGCCTTGCACGTAATTTCAAAGAGAGTCAGACTGAGCTTACAGGGGGTGTTCCGAACTCGGAACACGGCGTCCGGAAGAAGCGTCACCCAATTCTCGCCAGTCTCTATCGCCGATTTAGTTAGTGTCTCCTTCCGCGTCCGGTTCATACGTTCCACCTGACCGGAACCTTGGGGACTACACTCACAACGTAGCTTCCAGTGCGTCCCCAGAACCTGAGCTAGCTGCGGAATTAGCTTACTGACAAGCGCCGGTCCATTATCAGAGCCGATTATTTTGGGAGTCCCATACCTGGGAATTGTTTGTTCTAACCTAGTCTTAGGCACCGTCTCCGCTGTCTCTTTGTGGGGAAGGTCTCCACCCAGCCAGGGGAAGCGTCTACAAATACCAATGAGTATCTGTACCCGGTACTTGCCTGGTCTCACCTCAGTCAAGACCACCTCCCAGAACCGCCCCAGTCTCTCTTACTGGGACGCATTCCTGACGGCTAGCCTCCATCCCCTGACCTGCTCAGCCATCTCCCACAATCCCTCGGGGTGCACAATCTGGGTGGTGGAACTTCAGCCGGGCCACACTGAGTTGTTTCCATTTATTTTCCCCCAAGTGGGTGGTTCAGGGAAGGCTATGGCCCAGAGGCTCAGGTGGGGTGATGTGGGGGAGGCTGAATCCGGAGAGGCCTAGAGGAACTTCCTGAGCCTGCCGTGAATTTGAAAGCCTGTCTTTTGGCCGGCGCCGTGGCTCACTAGGCTAATCCTCCGCCTAGCGGCGCCGGCACACCGGGTTCTAGTCCCGGTTGGGGCGCCGGATTCTGTCCCGGTTGCCCCTCTTCCAGGCCAGCCCTCTGCTGTGGCCCGGGAGTGCAGTGGAGGATGGCCCAAGTGCTTGGGCCCTGCACCCCATGGGAGACCAGGAAAAGCACCTGGCTCCTGGCTCCTGCCATCGGATCAGCGCGGTGCGCCGGCCGCAGCGCGCCGGCCGCGGCGGCCATTGGAGGTGAACCAACGGCAAAGGAAGACCTTTCTCTCTGTCTCTCTCTCTCACTATCCACTCTGCCTGTCAAAAAAAAAAAAAAAAAAAAAAAAAAGCCTGTCTTTTTCAAATCCCTGGTGGCAAACACCCCAGCCCCAGGGCGCTTTTGCCTAAGGATCATTAAGGTGGTATAACAGGAGTGGCATCACATCACCCGCCCCTTGCCCACATCCGCTCATCCACTCTGTACCTCAGCTATATATACACCTCCCTTCTACAATAAAGTGAGAACCTGCTTCCACTGGGCTCCCCACCGCTCCTGATTGTCCCCGGGGTTTGGGGAAGGCTGAGTGGCGGGTGGCGCACTTCCCCTCCTCGGTCAAGGCAAGCTGCGGGCAGCCTTGACAGAACCGGCGCCCCAACCAGGACTAGAACCCAGCTCCGGCACCACATATTAAAAGGAAGTTAAATGGGGCCGGCGCCATGGCTCACCTGGTTAATCTTCCATCTGCGGCACCGGCATCCCATGTGGGCACCAGGTTCTAGTCCCAGTTCCTCCTCTTCCAGTCCAGCTCTCTGCTGTGGCCCAGGAGGGCAGTGGAGGATGGCCCAAGTGCTTGGGCTCTGCACCCACATGGGAGACCAGGAGGAAGCACCTGGCTTCTGGCTTTGGATCAGCACAGCACTGGCTGTAGCGGCCACTTGGGGGGGTGAACCAACGGAAGGGAGACCTTTCTCTCTGTCTTTCTCTGATTAACTCCACCTGTCAAATAAATAAATTTAAAAAAAAAATTTCGGCCGGCGCCGTGGCTCAATAGGCTAATCCTCCACCTTGCGGCGCCGGCACACCGGGTTCTAGTCCCGGTCGGGGCGCCGGATTCTGTCCCGGTTGCCACCGGGAGTGTCACCCCAGGAGGGGCCCAGTCTTCAGTACCAGGTCTCAGCAAGGGCACGCTCAGCGGCCGGAGAGCCCCTCCTGGACGGTCCAGGCTTTTCCGCTGAGGGCCACAGGGCCGGCGGGGCAACAGCACTGGCAGTCCTGGCCCTTCTCCATAGTGATCTTTATAACTGGACCGAGGGCCGTCTCCCTGTCGATCGGGATGGGCTTTCCGGCACGTCTGCCTGCTGCCTCAACCCCGCTTCCAAGACTCACCTGCTGGTGTGGACCCAGGCGGTTCCAGGCTACCCTGCAGACGGAGCTCCTCAAGTCCTGGCTGCTTCACGGAGACCGATCCAGGACGAGCCCCCAGACGCTGTGTCCTGAGTCCCAAATAACACACGAACAGCAGTCACAGATGCAAAACACAGAGGGTTTATTCCAGCCGGCTGGGCCTTCGCCCCCACGGACAGCGGCCCTAGGACGGGGCCTATCTCTTCCCACCTGACATGAAGCCGGCATCGGCTCTCCGGGTGCTGTGGATCAAGCACGCTAAGGAGTACAGAAGCGAAAGGCACTCAATCCCTACTCTCTCTCTCTGCATCCCCACACCCCCCCGGGCCGCCCCCGGTTCCCGCCGGGTCTCCCACCCCCGTTCCTCCCATCCAGCCCCCGCCGCGCCCCTTCCCCATAGCCGGCTGCCCCATCAGTGGGCTCGGCACCGCACACACCGACTGAGCGCCCACTGGGTGCCAGGCCCAAGCACTTGGGCCCTCAACCAATGAACTCCGCGGACGCAGTAAATGGCTGCCCTGGAAGAAGGAAACCGGTCCAGAATGTGGCACCCCGACCGAGA